AAAAAAGGTTAGACATTTTTTTCTCATTTTGCGCTATTGTTGAGAGTTTAATTATTCACCGTAGCCACTGGGGTGTGGATAAAAAAATGGAATGCAGTTGCATTTTTTTATTATGTCCCGCACACGACAGTCTACGATACAATCGCTGAAGGAATAACGGCCACCAAATTGTGCTTCCAATTCCGTTTTGAATCGACAACTGCGATGAACTGGATCCATGCTGTGAGCATCCTGAGGAAAAATTAAAAAAAAATTTCAGAATAAAATTATTTAAGTCGAACACTCCCTTCCTCGATAGAATTGAATTATTCAATTAAGCGACGTGAATTTTTCATGAGGATCTAGAGTTTTTGAATGGATTTTATACATCAGTTGTATCAAAAATCGATGCTCCAATATTGATTAATGTCTCGGTGCTGCGTGCCACCAATATTTCCCTGCTGCTACCACTGGGGGAGTCAGGATAGTCAGTGGGAGAATAAATCATCACCTGGAGTTATAAAATAAAGATCAATTATCCGTGGTAATTGAGTTTAAACCGGTCATTGCACCTTGAATCCGATCATCGGCAGTAGTTGATAAAAATAGTCTTCAGAGTTGACATCGAGCAGCAGCCATAATCCATAATCCGAGCCTGCCACCTCTGATTTCAGGACTGGGGCGGACATCTTGTCGCTCAATGAACTTGAAAAAAATATTCTCCACAAATGACAAATGTCCATTTCTAAATAAACACATGGAGCAATAAAAAATACCTTGAGAAATGATCCTTCCACCTAGCATAATTGAATGCACAGCATTGTCCATCTGAGGTGAACCTAGGCTCTAGAATATCCGAGCACATTCGTATAACACCTCCCCACTGACAGCGAACCGCATAATTGTCACACTCAACCACAATCATCTTCGATACCATGCCAACATTTTTCCGTCTTGCACCAGAGAAGGCATTGACCATGATTTCATGAAGGAGTAAAAGATCCCCTGGCTCCTCCTCATCACTTGAAAACGTGTAGAGGTGCCCCATGGTCTTCAATAACTCCAGAAACTTGGATTTCGTCACATTCATTGCTCTGACCGAATCCATTTGCAATCTAAATATCACAAATATATTTATCTTTAAACCAATCCACATAATTAATTCCGAGAGACATCATCAGGCAGAATTGTTATTTATTAACTATTATATTCGGCCTGTTAACTATTATATAACTCACATCTCTTCGGCCAATTCCATTATTTTTCTCTTACTGATCAAATTCATATTACAAATTGCTACCGCTGGAAAATCAATTTCTTTCACGGGATACATATCAGTCACCATGTGCGTAGCTGCTGGGGCATTGCGATAATCCACTGTAGTACTGTAAACCGTGAATGCTGAAGCGAGAAAAGCCATGAACTGGACTGTAATCCACAGAGCCCTGTAATTTTTTAATCTCCAGTGAACAATTCTCTTGGAACAGAAAGTCGAAATTACTTTTCGATTGAATATTCTCCTGGGATCCGCGACATTACGTTACGCAAAAGACGTGCACACGTGATGCGTAATGAATTGCTTTCGATATTCATCTTTAGTATAGATTAATTCGGCACTGAATTTGGATTGAATTAAATTCAACACCGACAACAGTCAAGTTCTCGTCACTGAAGTCGTTTTTTCGGAGCGGGTGAGAGAGATAATGATCTGCTCACCTGACATTCGTGTTTATGGTGACGACTATTTATCCGGAATATTCAATATTATTAGTAATGCATTGGCTCTCGTATTTCCCCTCGTTCATTCATATTTTATTCTCCCCTTCAATGCAGTGTCATGACCAATTACCAATTTTTACTCAAATTGGTAAAGTAATCCATCAGAATTATCCAAATGTCTCTATTTCCTCAATTCTTAGAAAAATTAACATTCCAAATTAATGAAAATGCATTCATTGAAATTCCAGAAAAATCTTTAAAGAAAATAAATCGATTATACGATTTGAATTTTTTTTGGATTATATGATTACAAAAAGGACTTGAATAAGTGAAAAGCCCAAAAATAGAATTTCAATTATTTATTCAATTAGATAACACAGATTAGTCCATTAGATTATAATGTATTATCGATGCGTTGATGAATCACATGTCTCGACGTTATCAACTCGATAATTGTATCATCGTAATTGTCGTAATTGTAATTGTCGAAGCCCTTAATTCTTTATCCTTTATAAAATAATTTTAGTTCACCCACTAGTGCAATTTTCCTCGAATCCATTTTAGCCGATTTTTCCTTTTTAAAAATATCACGCAAAAATTGATAGCATTTATCAATTCCCCGCATGATGCTGAACCCTAAAAAAATCCTGCAGATCCCGCCGTAGTCACCTGAAAAAAATCATGCACAACACATACTATTGAATATTTTTCACTTCCCTCAATCCTGAAATTAATTAATTGTCATAAAACTGCGTGATTAACGCGTTCTTCCAAAACAAATAATATAAACATAAAAAAATAGTCGCATTGTTGTCAAGAGAAATAAAGCTGATAAAATTGATAAATTATTTGATATTCGATATTCAATGACTTACTCATCAATTCGAACCAAGAAGTCGGTACATCTTGTGTAAGTTTCATTATTGGAGTGCGTCCGAAATTCACGTTCAAAATGGAATATTCATGGGTTGAGTTCATAATGTCCTCAGGCCTGATGACAATTAAAATCCGTTCGACAAGAGAATTTAAAATATTTTCTGAAAGTCTGAATGCTCACGATTCCCAGATAATATATGGATAACCATTTTTCGATACGAATGTTTTGAAGATGGTGTAATCGGTGCTGGTACAGGATGGGTAGCAATCGCACTGCAGAAGTCCTTCAGGAAAATCCATGAAAGCCTGGACAGGATGACCTCCATCCTGGATCTGCGGCACCAGAGTGTGCCATCGACCTTCAATCATTCGATTTAATATTTAGTACTGGTGGAATCTGTAAGAATTCATTGACAACGTACTTCTATAATGATTCAGGCAACGCAGATCGGTCATGTTGCACCTGGCAAGATGATCTGAAAATCATAAGGATGGATGTAGCAGTCAAGGCTAGTAGTTTCAGGAATTATTCGATTGAGCGTCAATTCAATTGAACCCGCATCTGCCATTATTATTATATTATTTTAAAATGTGAGGTAATTCACCCAGATTCGCTGGTACCGGATAATAAAACGGAATACATCCACATTTTTCTGCAATGTCTTGTATTTTGCAAGATGTGATACATTCGCTGTATGAATATTCATAATATTCATATTGAACATCACAATTGCGACGCTCCAGTTTCAAACTTCGAAAATCCTGGAGGAGAGAAACGATAATTTATAATGAATTCGTCAAGTTTTCTCACGAAATTTCTCTGTTCGCATTATTGGAAATTCCTTGAAATTTCAGGCGGAGGGTAATCTAGATTTTCAAGTATAATTTTTCAATAATGTCGATATCAATAAAATATATATATATCAATTAATAAAATCTAAGGATCCGTGGATTTATACTTCTGTGGTATCGGACATCGATCCTCCTAAAGAAATAAAAGTTTCTGTTCCTGGCATGACTAGACCATCTCGGTTGCTACCACTGGCTCGATAAGGATAGTCCGTGGGAGTGTAAATCATCGCCTGAAACGGTGACATATTCGTTCAATAAATTCAATGTTGTTTAAATTTTGACAAATCCACCTTGAATCCCACTGTCGGCAGCAATTGGTAAAAATAATCATCATGGTGTACTTGTAGCAGAGCCCACAGTCCGTAATCCGCTCCGATGATATTGACTTTCTTAATTGGTTTAAGAGAATACTTCCCCTTACTTTAATAAAATAAAATGTGAATCGTGATAACGTAATGAAGTAATTACACCTGCCCTCTCAATTTTTTATGAATCACTCGTACTATCATATTTAATTAAACGAATTGGTCCCAGTAGTTATCGCGATTTAAAAATAAATTGAAAGACAATTGAAGCATTAATTAAAGTGCAATGAGAAAAAGTATTGATTTGGACTGAGGATATTTTTTTTTAATACCTCTGGTATTTAGAATATCTAGTGAAATGGGCTGTCCATCTACCATGATTGAATATACAGCATAAACCTTCTGGAGTGTACATGGCCTGCATGATATCCTGACAGTTGCGAATAATTCCTTCCCACTGACATCGCACTACATTTTGACCGCACTTCATTGTAATTTTTTCCATAATACGCGATACATCGAAGGATTTCGAATTATAAGCGATGTCTATGACCTTTTGAAGAAGCTCTATGTCCCCAGAATTTTTCTCATCGATAGAGAACGTGTAGAGATGTCCAAAGTATCTGATTAACTCCAGAAGTCTCGATCTCGTTAAATTCAACGCTTGAACTGCCGGTTTATTCCACCTGAAATTTCATTTTGCAGGATATCTAGATTTCCTTGATTCGAAAAAATTTTTTTCCACGCGAAAAAAAATGATGAGAGAAAAAATCTCGGAAGGATTTTATCTATGATTTTTTTATCATGGAGGCCGTGATTCTCATTCCTAATTACTCACAATTCATTTGTGTACTTCTTCGCCTCCTTTTTGCTGATGAGATTCAAATTGCAAATAGCCACTGCTGGAAAATTCACATCCGCCAAAGAATTGCTGTCGGAGGATACGTGAGCTGCAGTTGGACTATTAATGTAGTGGATCGTAGTATCATACAACATGTATACGAATGTCATAGAAGCCAGGGTATGAACAGCGAACCATAGAGTCCTGACGTGTAATTTATTAAAAGAACTTAATTAAACCTAATCCTCCTATAGAATTAATTCATCTAATGAATGAAAATACAAGTAGTTTTCACAATCGAATAATTAACTCGATTAAAATTTATTATTCAATCGAATGGAATAAATTGGTTGAACTTTCGTGCGCAGTCCTGATGAATCGATTTTCATAATTATGAACCAATCTTACTTCTCCATTAGATTTCTTCCCCGAATTGCGAAGAACTTTGTCTTCAGAATATTTCTCATGTTGCTCCCAAAATAATATGACTTCACCACCGATTTTTCGGCTTCCTCTATAAAAACTAAAATCATTATCGCAGGTAATAGCGACATGAAGACCTCATGTTCGAGCAGATTCAGTAATTCGATGAATTGAAATATTTCGTGACCGATAGTGTTTGCATTTGGTATTTCCTGGTGGAATTCTGCCAGGAGATAGGATATGGAAATTAGGGAATTCTGAATAAATACACGATATTGATGTTTACATTTCTTTATCTAGAACTTTCCGAGGCTATCGTTAATACTACAGTTATTTCTATTCCCCTCTTGTTATCTCTCATCGACGAGTCCAATCTCACAGTAGGACACACGATTTTTCGAATATTAAAATTGTTTGATTCTTCTGGAAGAGAATTATGGCCTATTGTGAGATCGGACAGGGAAATTGATATGTGATTTACAATCGGGTAGATTAACTCACCGCTTAAGACAGTTGTCGTTGGTATTAAGAAAAATAAAATATTTAGGGAACGAGTGTAACGTATCATTTTTCATTACAATTTGTCAGCTTCTAATACTTTCTCTGCTGGGTGGGTTAATTCTGATATTCAATTCACCTCCGATTTTTGTACTTTTTATTCGTGGGGGTGAATTCATTCACTTGCAAGCGGATTAATCCATTATTTTTTACATGAAAAATAATAAGTATTTCAGCACACGTATCGCATGAAAAATATATTGTTTTCATGTTCGATTCAATAACTTCGGATCTCAGGATGAAATTTAAGTCTTTGTGAGGGTCATGGAAATATTCACTCAAACGATCGATCGAATTCTCTGAGGACATCCAATTTGACTAAATTAAAGTACATGGATTCCATTATCAACGGAACAATTCAATTTCTCCTTTCATTGACCCTGAGTTTTAATTAATTGACGGATATATCGCAAATAAATTATCGGAGTAATCCATTCGGTAATTATTTCGTTGTCGAAATTTGCTGGATAATTCGTGGAATCACGGAGCATAATCGAGTCTCAGAGATTATTTATTATTTATTGTTTATACGCGAGGATTTACAAATAACGGTTTCGGTATGGAATTGATAGATTTTTTCCTAAATGATTTTTAATTATTTGTGTTCGACTTTTCTCGCCACGTGGATATCACATATTCGATCGATCACTTGCGTTATTTCCAATATTTTTCAGTGGAATTTGTTGATAACATTAAGCTCAAAGAACTGTCAGTTACATTCAGAAGAAATTCGGATGCCAGTGGAATGTCTGATAATTATTGACCATTCCGAAATACATGATACAATTCATCGATGAAAAATAGGGCTCATGTGTTACACTTAGAATATCTAAAAAATATAATAAATCTGCAGTTTTGATTCAGCCTCACTCTAGAGTTTCGAATGAACAGAGGCATTACTAAGTAATTAATATTCATGATTATAATCTACTTCATTTACTCGTCCAACTTTTCATCATTCTACAAATCCAAGCAAATCACATGACGATATTCTCTCACGAATCGCCCGAAATATCGAAGACTTTTGATAAGAATAATTCGAGATAAAGGGCGAGTAAACGATATTTTATTCAATAGCGAATTGATAAAATGAGATGAGTCAAAGCGAATCGTCATTTGAGCAAAATTGGCATTATCTCGTTGAAATATAAATGTGCAGATAAAAATGAAAATACCACAGTGAGCGAAAAAAACTAGAATTCCGTATTTACAAACTGCCTTCGATTAAAAAATAGATTACTTTATTTTCATTTGTCACGCGTCGAAATTTCATGCCAGTACGTGACTTGAGCAATTATTAATTGCCAATTATTCGGATACATCGATCTATCCTACGAATTTTTTCTTTGTACAGTATTGTGGTACCTCAATAAAAGGCTAAAAGTATCAGTAAACCAGTGATAAAAATTGATTTCGTGTTATGCAGACTAGAGTAATAAAATTCATCTAATTATCGTGAAATTGCAAAAAAAAAATCATCTCAACAACAATTTCAGATTTGAAATAGAAAATGGACACAAGATTTCATAATCACATTGAAAATAGCCAATTACCTAAAAAACAATCACTGTCACACGCAAATTGCTAATATAAGTACAATAAAAATAATTAATTAACCCAGCTGAATGCTTAAGTAATTCAGCCAACTTTGGATGAGTGCAGGCGGATGAACCGTAAATAAAAATGCTGTTTGAGTTTTGAGAAAGTAGCGGAGTGATAAAATCAGATAGATTTCGAATTGATCACATCCACTCCACTCCAACCCAAAAAAATTACATAAAAACCTGACATAAAATTAAAATTTCTGGAATTTCCACAATCAAATGGGAGAAGTTCCACTAGAAATTCGCGAGAATTTCTCGAGAGAAGGATTTTTCGATAAAGCATTGTTCCACGTCTCCCACGAATTTCAACATTCCCTGAACCGCCCTAGCACATAGTTTCGGAAGCAGGTGCAGGTCCAGGATTATTCTTATCACTCGGTTCAGAAGCATCCGAGTCCCTAATAGCCGGTGGCCTTGACAAAGTCTGTTCAATTTCCCTGGTGACACTGATGGTGGGTGGTACCACCCTTCTACGCTGATGAACAGTCTTGCCCTCCTCATCGATAGCAATGGACCTCCTCAACCGATGTTCATTAGCAACATAAAACGGTGGTTGTACAACGTCATCAGTATCAGAATCATCGTCCTCCCGCCTGTACCTCCTCTGAATAAGATCCTCCATCTGCTGATAATCACATGCCTCAGCATCCCTGAGATGTTCATTCTCAAACTCAAGTGCAATCTCAGGATCAGACATATCAATGACGTGTCTAGCCCTGGAGGGAGGTGGTGAGACAGGAGGTGTCCTTGGAGGACTCAGAAGGCCACAGTAGCCCTCGAGCTCATCAGTAATACTTGTGTACTCATTTCTCATGGCTAGTAGAGTCGATCTGGGATGCCCTCCAGTGGATCCTGAGATGATTGCGACCCTGGGGTCAGCCCACTTGACCCCTTTCTGCAATCCAGGGGGTGCCAGATGCATGGCATCGTCAGATTCAGATCTTGATCTACTGGTTTGTCTGGTTGGACGCTCAGACGAGTCCTGACGAAGGTCAGACATTGGCACATCACTGCTAGTATCCCTTTCCACCTCTGGCTTCTTCACATCACCCTCTGGAATATCCTTACTCCCTCCACTCTCCTCTTGACTCGTCGTTGCTGTTTTTTTCTCATCTGGACCAGTGGTAGGAACATCTCCACTAGAAGATGACTCATTCCTACTGAGATTCTCTCTAGATGTTGTCTCAGACTGTTTAATCGTATCATCATCACCCGAGGGATGATGTAGCACTGGAGCATCAGTCAATGATCTCAACAATCTTCTCCTGGGAAAGAGCCCTGGTAGGTGGGGATGAGAGTCTGCCTCTGAAATCACCTCTGATCTCTCTGAAACTCTTCGTGGACGAATTTCAATATCCAGACTGGAGAGATTCTCATTCTGCATGTGAGTAGCCATGAATCTGTGGATAACCCCCAAGTGTGCAAGTGTCTGCTCACTCAGCTCCTCCAGTTTACGAATACGAAACTCCACAGCCTGAGTCGAGGCGATCTGACTGTTCTCCTTCTTGTCGATATCCTCCAACTTCTGCGACATATTCTCAACCCTCTCGGTTGTGAGTTTCACTCGTTCCTCGGTGGACATCTGGAGCTTGAGCTGCTGCTCGGTGAAATAACCCTCGACGCAGTCCTCCTCGAAGTCGTACAGTCGTTCCATGTCGTCGGCTTCCAGAAAGAGCTTCAGCCCATTATCGTATGTCTCTAAAGAACGCATCTCACCCTGAGTTAGGTAACGAAAAATATAGCGACCCAGGAGGTAGATGTGAGAGAAGACGATGAAGGGAGGAGGCAGCACTGGTTTCTGCTCGTACTCCATTACAACTGTAAAACGTTGGAACATCCACACCTGGTGGGCAACTGCGTTTACCTCGATGAAGATGTTATTAAAAACCGCGATGAGGAGATTTATCAGAAGAATATTCGCCACCAAGAGGTACATTGACATAACGATTGGAGTTATCCAGCGACCTGGAAGGCATGGACTCATTGAGGGCTCGTCACCACAATCGGGTGCTATTTCGTCTGCATAAACTTCACCGTACAACATGAAATAAGGCTGGAGGAAGATGTCGCGGATTATTATCCACTGGGGATCGGAATTCGGATTGAGAATCGCATGTCGAGAAACTCCGAAGCTCATTAACACCACCAGCAGTAGAACAACGAAGTAGATCATGTTCTTCACCATTTTTCCCATCATTGTGACGAGGGGCCCCAGGTATTTATTAACACCCAGGATATTGAGGATTCTCAAGTACCAGTAGATGCAGTCCACGCAGTACATTACTCGTCCAAGATCGAAGGTCGATTGTCTTACTCTTAAGGCTAAACCTATTAAAAAGAATATTATTGCTGCAGCGTCACAGGGATTCCACATATTCCACGACCACACACTGAATTTGTGGAACATTGTTGCTGGCTCGGATGTCGCTATCTCGCGAACTTTTTCACAGCCTAGGGTACATATGTAAGCTATTGCGTAAAGCTCAGCTAATCCCGGGTATTCAGTCATTCTCACCAGGATGCAGTAGGAGAAGAGCAGTAGGAAAATCATATATGCTATCTAAAAATAAAATATTCAATACTCAATGTCTCATAATTTAGTAGAAATAGCGGAAGAAAGAAATAGACTTTTTCTCCTCAATTCAGATATCGAGTGAATATAGAATATAGAGTTCGGAAGAGTTGAAATTAAAAAATACTCACAGCATTGGCCCAAAATTTAGTGATAGGCGAAGTGTAGAATTCATACAATTTTTTTTTTAATCGTAATGGTCGATTTGTTTTATTATCATAATATTCCGATAGAAGGCCATAGGGACGATGAAGATTGTCGTCGTTGTCCGTAAGTACTTTTCCATTTTCCTGAACAATAGTCTCTTTGGCAATTGTCGTACTGTGCTCATTGCTTATCAAAGCCTGGACAAACGTATGATACGCATTACTCAACACAAATGACAGTGAAAAATAATGAGCGAAGACAATGCTACGTTATTAGATCGATACGAATAATTCGAATAGAATAGAATTTTTTACGTGTTAGAGATATGCATTGGAAATGGACGGTCATCAGGCTAGAAGGAACTCGATAGACAAAAATTGGCAGGAATATTAGAGTTAGTGCAGAATGGTTATCCAGCGGTAAATACACAACAGTGAAATGTAATAATTTCCAACAAGATAGTATCACTGAAAATAAAAAGGAATAAACGAAATTGAATTTCCTTCACATCACAGTATCGGGAGACAGTTTGTGCCATTCGCCAGGAGTTAACAAAAAATAGCTAGGTAATGGTAATTAACGAAGAGTCGTGAGTAATCTACGTCATAGCAACATTTTTCATTATTTTCGGAGTGAAGTACTGGAGACAATGGCCATTCAGCATTGAACGAATGAAAAATGCTCCCATTACCAAGTGAGTGCTGAAATAAACTCAACGATGAGACATAAATTTTTTTATCGAAAATAAATCAAGTACGTGGAGCACAGAGGTCATTTTAGAATCACTTTCTACCCCGTGGTTAATGTACCTTAGGGGCTGGCTGGCTCGTGGGTTTGTTGCAAATGCTCAGGTTCCTGCGTAGACGTTTCTAAAAACAAATATCCAACGATATGTCGAGATATCTGTATTAACTGCAGATCTTAATTTATATTAATTACCTCTTACACGTTAATACGGACTGCATCCAATATTTTAATCTTAAGTCTAAAATATATTTTTCAGCTTCTACGCAAATTAGTTGATATATTATTCAGACACTGGAAATGGAAAAACACGAGCCGGAAATTTGTAATGAAAAAGGTCTCGGAAAATGAGACTCAGATTTTCAAATCGAATTTTTTTCTCTTTGAATACATTTATTTCGTTAAAAATCTCGGAGGTTGAAAAAGTGTTAATTATTTTTTTCCCTTTCACTCGAATATCCTTATTAACAGCGAGTGTTACTTGAGTGAGTGTTAATTGCACCCCATCATATTATTCACTGATTAATTAGTTACAAAGGGTAAACAAATATTAGAAACCGTTGAAATATTAATCTCTGAGATATCTACCTCGACATCTGGACCAACTGGTGTACCATGTTCAGATTCGCTGTCCTCGTTCTCATCCTCGAGGGCAATCAAGTGTTCCTCTTGCGTCTGAGGCATCAGCTGTAGCTCCTCCCTCGTCTTGAAGTCCAGCTTCATGATGTAAAAAGGACACACAAGCCCCAACACCACCTGGACAAACAAGAGGATCAAACCCCTGTGAACGCACCTCCCGCGACAATTCAAAAAACTTATTCACAAACTGATTTTTTTTTTAAGAAAATTCGGTGCTACTGAATCACCTTGAGATTCGTATTCTTTCTCGTTCTCAAGCCACCCATCCAAAGATCAGCGAGAATAATCTGACTGCATGGGTGCGCGAGAATTGGACGATGATTTGCCGTGACAGCGAGTGACAGACATGTCTGACCCGACCAATTTTGCAATTCCGATGTTAATAATTGCTGAGTCTGATCGTCATCCTGGCGATAGCAGTAGTCCAATAACTCCAGTGCTGCATGAAACCCAATTTAAACTCGATTAAAGTTTCCACACAGGGCTGACATAATTTTCGACAAACACAACTTAATTAATTAGTTGGCTGTAATTTAATTTGTAATGTTGAGGAGAGAAATTTATAACTCCCCTTTAACTCGTAGCTCTGACGAAAAAAAATGATAATTACCGATATTCTCGAACTCTTTGCCATATCCCTTGAGTTCATCGTAGACCTCAGTCTCCAGATCGTCCTCAGCGGCCTCATGGGCCATAGCTTTATACAATTTGAGTGCAACAAGAGCCTTGGCAAGTGCCTCCTCTCCATGCTGCCACATGAGAAGTGCCATTTGCTGTCTCTTAGTGAGAACTGCCCAGATGAGTAGCTCATTGAACGGATAATCGAATAATGGTGTATCTCTGTTAGCTGGCAGTGTCTCAGCCAGAAGACTCATCGTCAAACCGTGCGACTTCTCACCAGAGCCCGAGTAAAATTTAATTCCAGTTGCCATACTATTTCTGTGCTGCTGGAGATGACCACCCGAGCGTTTCATAACTTTAGCATATATCAGTCGAAATTTACGACGTGTGTACTGATGCCTGTAAGCACCACCCATTAATTTATTAATCACGAGACCGATATCGTGAAGTGTGTAAATATATCCCCTTGGTATATGTGGCCTCACATCGCGGAGTATATATCCCAGGGTATTCGATGGTCCTTCTTTAGTATTGTACAACTCCTCCAAACGGGGTATTGATAAAAATTTTCTCATTGATACACCATTCTCTAGGAGTAATTTAACGAAATCTATTCTATCGTGCTGCAGTGCCTGCATCATTGCCTGATCAAGAGCACCTGGTGGCCATTTTTGACCGTAAACGAATATTTCACTTCTCGCTATGTCTACACGATTCCAGATTAATGATAAGGACAGTTGTTCGGCTGGGGATAATTGCTGGGATTTGAAGAGGGCTGTCAAGATCGTTTGGTCGAGCTCTTGTGGTCGATCTTGAGTTATCCTGAACACAGTTATCTGCAAGAGGTCTCAGGTCAGTCTGGGAAAATTGTTGGAGATGCAGGGAGATGTAATAATTCCAAGCCGAGATTGTTAATTTGCTAATGCGTTGGTTGTCGAGGAATTACTATCATTAATGATGCTTCTGTGATCATTCGAGTGGTCATGCTATGGTAATTTTTCTAAAATACTTCATGAAGACTTACTAAATGTTTTTTACGAGTACACTGAAGCAATTCAGAGTACAACTGGGCTGCCTGCTCAGGTGATACTTTGAATGTGTGCTTAATTGTTTCTAATAAATGCTCTTTCATGCTCTCCAACGGTCCATCAGTGCTTCCACCCTTGGTATCATCACTCTCAGTGGCATATCTAGAGAACAGTCCTCGTTAAGGATACGTGGGGGTAAAATTTCCAAGAATAACGCGTGCCAAAAATTCACTAGAAAAATCCATTTCATTTGAATTGAGAAAGTGATTTTTCGCCACACAAAATATTCAATTAATTCAAATTTTTCAATGGGAATATCCTGTTTAATATAAAAGTAAGTCGGGAATTTCCCGAGATTTCGTAATAAAGTTCAGGGATGCTTGTGTTTAATGGTTTTTTTTTTCGGGTGGTAGATGATAGAAAAAATAATTCTAGACTTTCATACTTATGCATGAAGGCGATAAGGTCTGCTGCACGCCCAGAACCATCACAGACAACAACAGGTACAGGTGGCTCATCCGTGACATATTCGAGCACCGAACGAATAGTATTTGTTCCACCCTCGATAACTAATGCCACCACTGGGATACTACTGTGCGTGTCTAGTCGATAGGGAGAAGAAGGTAAGTTTACAACATTAATTGGAGTGATCGATTGTTATGGTGGATTTTGAAATGGTGAATTGTCCGTTTTATCGATCGCCCCGGAAAGCCACAGGAATTTAATGTGCAGTTTGACTTACATGGCTGGAGGTTCAGGTTTGAGATATATTTCTCGAGTTTACGACGAAGGACTATCTCTGCACCGTATCGACCACCTGTACCATTGTCGATCAGGAGGAAATATGCGTGACGATTATTCAGCACTGCAAATTTTGACCTGAAATCAGAGCAATTTTTTATGATTTACCAGAAAGAAAATAGTTTTAAAAGCGAAAAAAAAAAATTGGAGGGGTATTTACCAGGGGGAGGCCATGGAGTCATAAGGCACCTCTCCACCACGACCAACAAGTTCATGACTCTTCTCCAGTATTCCCCAGGGGGCTATTCCAATGCTTACCACTCTTCCCTGTCGCTGGGAGCGCTCCAGCAGGAGTGCATCCCCAACTTGACGCGTGACACCTGGAATAATCGATCCAGTAAAAAAAAAATAGTGAGCAGTGATGGAAAGGATCTCAAAATAAAAATCACCAGTATTCGTTCCACCGGTGAAAATCCATGCTCCTGTTGTCTTGGCGGCCTTCAGCAAACCCTTGCGTAATACTTTTTTCAATGTCGGCTGGAGCTCGAAATTAGAACGACCACCGTGAACTGTTATCAGTAAACGAGGTAAACCCAGATTCCATTCACGGCACAATAGTTGAACAATTGGCTCGGGCCGAGTGTCGTGGGCGATCCGAACGTACTGAAGAGAATTGAAGGAAAAAAAAAAGCATTATCCATTATGCTGGGAGAATTGCAGGAAAAGTCGTACGACTTTGTCTAATGAGAATTATTGGAAAACTTCGCTGTGAGGATATTGGATTTCAGAGCAATTTATCCGCTCGGAAAACCTCTGCGGAATTGTATTATTTCAATTAATGGAGATGTGTCACATTTTATAGGATAGCATCTTTTCTTATTGAACAGTACATGATTGAATACTGAAAATTGCACGGGAATTTTTTCCCGTAATGAGGAGAATTATTGGAAAACTTTGCGATGGGGTTATTGGTTTTAACAAAGCAATTTATCGGCTCGGTCAGCCTCAAAGGAATTGCGTGCAAACTCAACCCTCTATAGTTTATTAATTTTTTTCTAGTCTTATGGGACCAGTGAATTATTTTTAAATCCGTCATCTCCCGGAATTTTTCAGAATATTCGACGATACAGTAGGATTGCAATTTTATGATCCATTAACAAAGTCAATTTTTAATATTTCTCCGATTATTCAATTATTAAACAAAAAACTGAGTTTTTATTAAAATGGTGAAATCCTGGATTTTGCGGGGAAAATGCCACGAAATTTCAAAAATGTAATTAAAAGATAAGATTTTTCAAAAAAATTTTGTACGGTTTCCACGGTTTAATTATCCGGTAGAATGGTGCGCTCACATAAAATGAGGATAAAATGAGGATAAAATGAAATCCTGAAAGAACTCACTTGAGCTTTAGTCGGATGTGGTCCCCCCTGGAATTCGATAGTACCATATGCATCAGTTGGTGCTGGTTTGGTGTTTTTCCCAGGTGACCACTGCTCTCGCTCGGCCTCGGCAGCAGTTCCAGTTGCAAAATTCTGGACATCCGCCCCAGTTCCACAATGATGCGTGTACGAGTGACCACAGCAGCACCTAAAACCCCATCGAGACCCATAAACAATTAACACTCGTCCTGACATCCACTGAAAATCAACGGAAAAAAAAACACAACAACGAGAACACGAGATTAAGCAGAGATAAATCAACGAGTATTTCCTCACTTTTTCCCTGTTCTAAATAAATCAGATGCATCCGTTATCGTGAATCACCCATAAAGCCTCTGACATTTCTGTTATCGAAGTAATTACCACCTGATCGCGAGTTTGTCAAGCTTTTTAAGCATGTGAGCAATGGTTTGTGTGCGAATGAAGCTTATTTTGAGATATTAGTGTAATGCAAGCACATGTCTGGAGCAGAGGAAGTCAGTACTTGTTAGTGAAACACTCCGAGCTTTTATCACAGCCAGGTTTGTGATTCTCTCTGTACAGGGGAAGTATTTACAATTGCTTAAAAACAAAACCATTGTTACTTATTGGTTGTTTCAGTAAAGATACAGCGAAAATGAATCAGTCAATTTCACACTGATTTTTCAGATCTTTTTGAGACATGAATAAATCAGCAACCGAGCTATTTGATTCACCCTTCACCCCTTTACTACTGATTTCAATAGTGAATTTTTATTACTCTGTGCAATTCTTTCTTTCAATCTTCCATCCCCAATAATCTCACCTGGAGGTGGTGATCACGTCGTATTCGGCACTTTTATCTCCTTGTATGTCTTCAAGCCTATGAATGTAATGAAAAAAAGAATAAGGGAAAAATAAATAAAACGAAACTGATAAATCGAAATGAATAAACAAACATTCAAAACCTATGGAATATCACTGCCCACTGATTCAGGGATTAATTCCAATGGAACTTTGCTTCAATTTTTCATTAATTAAGAAATTGTAGTGGAAATGGCAAAAACAGAGATTTAACATTCAATTAAATGAAATAATAAGAGTAATAATAGCAAACACAAAACGTTTGTAATGATGTTAATAAAGCTTGAAATGTTCTTCAAACGTAACGAATGATAACTATTACTGAAAATGCGTTAGAGTGTCTCGATTAAATTGCATGGTGTCTCTAACTCTGTAGATTGAAATAAAACTGCCAGTGCTGTAGTTATTGTGAGAGATAAATCATCAAAATATGGTAGTAACGCTGCATGAGCACGTCATTGGACTCTAGTCATGAATAATTAATATCTCGTGATTATTAGAAATGTTCTTCATAAGGGGTAACAAACCTATGCTCATCTTTGGCACTGGGTATGAATTTTGTACACTCTCGTTTCTGAAATGTTGCCTCGATCCAGCTGCGCTCCTGAGTCTGAAAATTCGAGGAAAATTTTTATGCATTATTCGGTGGAAGAGGATGAGAAAATTCTTGTGAGTTGAACGGGACTTCTGATAACCTCCCGGTGATTACGTTGATGGTATTAGTGAGATGAGAGAATAATTAAATAATAATCTTGACTTCTGTACCTTTGCCTTCTTTTTCTTTGCTTTTGGAACGTTCGCACCGCAGATTACACTTCCAATAGCCATCTTGACTCTATTCAAATACTTTCACGATAAATTATATCATGACTAAACTAAAAAAAAAAATAAGCTGTGATTGGTACTGGAGGAAATGAACATGTGGAGATGCACGGAGAATTATTTATAGTACAACTTACATTTTAGCGTACAAAAAGGAGACTTATTTTTATTGTAAATTTTACTATAAATTTTTCTCCCAGTGGTATGTGTTCTTTTGGGACAATATAGTTTTTTCCATCAACTGAACAATATCGAGTAATGGAATTGCATGATTTAAAGTTTGAAGGATACTGCCCGCTCGCCATCCGAATTAATTACATTTTTATTTCTCTCTCATTCGAGTTTAATTGGAGGAAGAATCTCTTGTCTCAACAGAATACATTCCACGTATAAACCCATTATTCTATCAGCGAATTGGTGAATGGGAGTAAATGTGATTGAAAGGAGGAATGGATTAACCGAGCAAGACGAGTGGAATTTTCTCTGAGCTGTGCCTTCGAATATAAAAAATTCCGGAATTCCTCTCTTCGATATAAGATTGCATACTATTGTCATCATTATTTTTCCACAATTTATATTAATCTAAGATAAATAAGATTATTATAATCCAAGATTTTGCAGATTTGTAACACATTCAGGATAATGATGGGTACTTATAAAAAAAAATATAATAAGAATTATCTTCTAATGGATTAATTAAAACCCTGAAAGAGCACTAATGACTTTTAATATTGCCAAGAGTAACGTTAAACATTTCAAAAATATTCCCTCAGCGAAAGTACTGAAACTTAATAGACTTGTTACTCTATTCAGAGCATAATGAATTCCTTTTAATTCGTTTGCTCGACTCTCCCTTCCCCCGGGTAGACATTTACCCGAAAATTGCCTCTCGAGACCTAATTTAACGCCACCAATCTTTCCTAAATATCAAGACACCAAATAACGTTATCATATCAATGAAAATCAAACAAATTATCCAAGGCCCAACGTAAACTCACCGCTCGTACAATTTTCGGCTTCTCCAGCATACCTAAACCCTGATGCCTCTGTCCCACGTATAAACCCAAAATCCGTCGACAATTTTTTTAAACTTCCCAACAGATCATAAATCACGAGACAATTGTGTCCCTCCCTGAAATACCTGGAGTGGCCCAAGAATCTGAAACAGGAGCATCAAGAAAAAATCAATCATAATAAAAAATTTCACAATAAAAAAATTCACAATAAAAAATTTCACAATAAAAAATATTCCGAGAGAATTCCAAGCCAAAATAAAAGCCCGTAATAAATCCTACGTATTTATACTAAACGGCATACAGCAACAACTCCCAAACAAATATTCATTCTGAGAGATCGTTAATCTCCGTTAACTATTATAATCTCGATCCCCCACTTCACTCCTTGCAATGGAGAGTTAAAAAAATCCAAGAGAGCATTATAATTTCCGTGATAAATAAAAAATAAAATAATGAATTGAAATGGAAAATAGAATGAAACTAAAAAAACAGGTAAACAACGATTAAAAAAATAGCAACATCTGGAAAATGTCAATCGATGACAGAATCGAGTGTCGACGATGATCGACCCAGACCCTGTGAAAAATCAATTTTCCAAGTGTGACAAGTCTCGGTTGGATTTGAAATATTATTGCACCAGGCCACGTCTGACCTAACCTTATCACTCGTTCAACTATTGCGCACGAGAGTTGAAAATCTAGGTTAATTACTTGCCATCTCAATGCGATAAACGGAGCATTCACGTGAATTACTTCTCAAATCCCCCCAAAAAAATGAAAACAATCTTTATATAAAAATAAACAAATAATTACCTCATAAAAATCGGTGGATGTCAGTCCGGTGCAGATCATACTCACGCTGAACACCTTATCAATATAACAATCGCATTGACAACAACTGTACCAACGATTTATCTCGACAAACGTCTCGCACATCGAGTACCAAGCACCAGCACTCAAACTACTCATGAGTTTTTTTCTTTTATTTTTTTTTACTCCGGAGCTGACGAGCGACAATTAACATCAATCATCACTCCAACACACACGCGTCCACCGGACTGCACTCGACAGCTGTTCAGGCGTCACTGGCCCCCCCTGTACCCCCACCCCACCCTCTTACTTTAAAGGATCGGGAGATTAATGTGGCGTGAGGGTGGAAATTAATTTTTCTCATCCCTACGGCGATGAGGAGTGATACTGTCCCTCCCGATGCTTTCGCGCCACTGAGCTGCACACTGACCGCGTCAAGTGGGTCAAATCCCCCACTAGGACACCCCACGGGGATGTTCCCCGCACACCCTGACGCATCGGCTTCTAGGGGATATTCGGGTGTGGGGTAAATAGCCGCGGAAATTAACAGTACAACTCCGGGTAATTGGGGATTTTCCCTGAGGAGATCATTGATAACGGCTTGATAAGCCGAGGGGGAGGGGTATGTGAGGATTGATAGATCAGGGGAATTTTTGCAATGAGTGAAATTTTTTTTAATATTCATCTATTTAAAACTGGATTTAACACTGGAATTTTTATTTCATGTTCCCTTTTTTCATTTTTTGAGTTGAGATCAGTCTAAGGGGAATATCAAGAAATTCGTAACTGTCGGGCATTCTTATCTGTGACTTTCTTCAGTTAGTGAAAAAGGAGGCGATAAGCTTGGGAAACATTGAAACATTGCGCAATAATTTCAGGGAATAAATCTCGGAGATTCGAGTGAAAACTCATTATTTTTTTGGCGACGTCTGGAGAGTCGCGCGATATCTGGCATTTGCGGGGGAATTTAAATTCCCGAAGATTGAAATGCTTGCTTTAAAAATAAATAACTCTATCCTTTTACCAATTTGCTATTTCTACTGAGTGCTTAATTGAATTAACAAATTAAAAATAATTGGAAATTCGAGGGGAGTTTTTATTTCAATATCAAAGGATTTTATTTTTGATTTTCAGGGTAAGCATGAGGGCTCATTATGGGCCCTGATTATCAATGATAAAATCCAATTGCATTGCTGTTGATAAAAACGGAAAAACATTGCGCAAAAAATAATCAATCACGTGCAACACCGAAGCAGCTATCCTTGCACGACCTAAACCAGTAACTTCCTACTACCAATTAAATTTTTGATGCGTGCATAATTGATACACCAACAGATAATGTAAAAAATGTTAAATACACAAGCAACACCTATTAGTCCAGTCCGCCCATTGCCCACGTTCAATAGTGATTCATTACAGATGGACAAGCACCAAAACTGTAATTTACACGTGCGACCTTCCAATATCATTATCCAATTTGCAAATATCGAGAACATTCCGACAATTGGACGAGCCGTAAAACAGTAATTATCAATTTCTTGCTTGAGTGATTCAGTGAATGGACATTTTACTTCAAGAGCGACAAGAAATAATTTCAATAAATTAAATCATTCCATTCAAAAAGTATTGATTTAAAAAAAAAATATCCGAATTTTCTCAAAGCAAAAATCATTCATGGTTAACGAATAATTAATTAATTACCATTATTGCATTGAGTGCATCGAATGCATCCTGTGCATCGAATGCATCCTGTGCATTTCAGTTATAAACAATAAATACATCATAATTTTTTTTATGAAGATGAGAAGAATAATGGATAATTTCATTTAATACAAGGATGAAAAAAATGTCAGCCAGATGTAAAAAATAATTTCAATCCCAATGGAGGCAACGATTTTCGCAATGTTTGGGAAGTGGGCAATGGCCCGTTTGCCCCCCAGCCCTGATTCTAATAATACAATGATTAATCACGGAATGCCATACGTAATGAGCAATAGCAACGCGTAGAGAATAATCCGAGTGCTGGTTTATCCACCGAAACGTCCGTGAAAATTTGCGGAAGGGGACTAAATATATAATCGGACTGGGGGGCTTGGCTGGCAGTTTTGCAGACAATTACGTTGCAAACGGATCACACCTCAATCCCCCGAAACCGAGGGACATCGACGCGAACGAACGATCAATCAGTGAAAAAAATTTATTAAATTTATTCTCGTTAACTGAAGAATTATAAAAAATGGCACTGGTACCCAGCAGCTACTGGAGAGATTGGTGGGACGATTTTGAGCGTCCAGGAAAGGTCCTGGACAAGTACATCGAGAGAAATATAACGCATGCTGAAGTCCTGGAGACCCTCAGGTGGCCGACATTCAGGTCTTTCTTTCGGCCCTGGGGAAGATCCCTGAGTGCCAGCCTCAGTGAACTCGACAAAATCGAGAATGACGCCGACAAGTTCAAAGTTATTCTCGATGTCAGGCGATTTTATCCCCACGAGATCCTGGTGAAGACTCTAGACAATTCTATAATCGTCGAGGCGAAGCACGAGGAGAAGGAGGATCCATTTGGCTATGTCTCCAGGAAGTTTCACCGTCGGTATGATTTACCAAAGGGTCATGATATCCGGAGGGTCACTTCCAGTCTGTCCACCGATGGCATTCTCACCATCAATGCACCCAAGGTCGTACCACCACCTGGTGAGAGAATTGTCCCGGTCGATCGAACCTATTTTCCTGCCCTCAAGAGCCCACGACTACTTCGATAATTTATTTCACACCGATTTCCTGCACTGAGGACATGTCAACTCTGGTTTTCGTTTTGTTGATTTATTTATTTGTTAGAATTTCAGGAGAGATGTTATCGTAGGATTAATTTAGTGGGTTAATTGTGGCTCTCGAAAATGTACCACCGCTGTTCAGATTTTAATAATTGTTAGGACATGAATAAACTCGTTGTTACTAATGCTGACGTTCGTTTTTTTTTTATTTATCTTTTTTTATCCTGATCCTGTGGCGGGGGCCTGTCCGGGGATACCGGAGTAATTAATTAGTCGCCGTGATGGAGATTCAGGACGAGTGGATTATGAAGAGGTAAATTGCTCGCGGCTCGGAGTTTTAATTAAAGATTATATGGAAAAAAATTCTTAAACGAAGAGGTAATGAGAGATTAATGGAATTTTAGAGATCTATATTAGATATCGATTGATTCCGGGAGTTGTTGATTTTATGAGGAAATTTCAAACGATTTTTTAGTCGGGACATTAATCAGCAAAAAAAGCATTTATTTTTCTTCTTACGTTTCTAATGATTCTTCAATTACAAAATCATTTCAAAATTATTTCAAGACCCGAAACTTGTTAAATTGAATATTTAAAACAAAGTTATAAATTCAGATACGACGGGATACTGAAAAACAATAAAATCAGTAAAAAACCAGAACAGAAAATTGTTTTATGCTGTTATTATATTTTTATCTATTATTTTATTTCCTGGAATATCAGGTTAATACCATCACTGTAGAATAATATCAGTGCCAACTGGAGTTGAATAAAAGCTCCGCTGTGTTCACAGAAAAATAAATAAATGAATAAAAATAAATAAATGAATAAAAATAAATAAACCGTTTCGAAAATCCTTCGAAAGCTGTAATACTCAACTAATCTTCAAAGAAGCCTTCCAATTCCCAAAAGTTATTGAGAAAGTTAAGAAATTATCATTAATTTCATTGACGCAATGAAAATTCAAATGAAATGAAATTTTTCCGTTGGGTTAAATACCAATTTCTCTCAAAACCATTGATTTTAGGAGGAAATTCTAAAAGATCTTTCCTGTCGGAAATTTATTCACCTAAAAAAAAGTTCCCTAGCAGTTTCCCCTCAGATCGATTGGTAATTGAGAAAAACCTTAAGTTTGATTATAATTTTTTTCTCGATGCGTCGAAAATTGATTTTTAATTTCGAAAATTCAACACCGGGCGATAAATCCGTAAGTTTTTTTTTCAGTCTACCGTTTTTTACGTAATTGCAATTTTATTCTCATTTCTATGCATTATTGCATGGGCGAATTATACGGAGGTGCGACTCTCAAGGCCATTCGGTGTTCTCAGGCGAGTCTGGGTCAGATTGTCTCTCCCATCCAGTGAATTTCGGTTTAAGCAAACTGCAAGTTGCGTCACACACCGTAATTTATGTAATGAAAGATAAACATTCGGATTATATTTATTATTTCACAGCTCGATATGCGAATAATCCCGAGTGACGAATGGCGACAGTTTACGATTTAATACGTCGATTATAATTAAATCGCAATGGCACTTCCGCGTCGTGAATGATTAATTGATGAATCAGAGTATCTGGTCTCAGCCAAAAAATCACAATGAGTAATCAATGGTCTTGAGATCCGAGCCGATTGATAAATAATCGAAACCCAACGAGAATATTCTGCCATCGCGAGATCCTATCCCCGAAGATCTTCATAAATTCGTTTTTTTATCGCTCGATCCGATCGGAAATTGAAAAAAACAAAATTATTAAACCGGACTGGTTCCACAATAACAATTTTTTTAGGGAAAATAAATAGGGTATAAAAAGAGGAGTGAATTTTTCGGAGAGCATCAGTCGAGGGAACGCTCCAGTAGCCGATCATCTCCAGGAGAATGAAGAATTTTCTGGTAACACTATCAAATTAAAATAATATTCGAAAAGCTTGAAAAATATCGAGTCATTTTTTCATGAGAACCGAGAGATTCCAAAAAATTCTAATATCCCATGTGATTCAACGGAAGTGATCGATCATGGATCGATCAAGTATTTGTATCGAATCTGGTAATCGATCACCGCCGACGCATTAACGACAATTGCGCATTGCGTAATGTGAATTGAATGCGTGTTTCAGATATTATTGGCTTTTGTGGTGGCGATTTGCGTCTCGCAACCTGTGAATAATGTCCAGAGGAAAAATATTGCCGGACAGAGCCCAGGGCAAGTGTTCCAGGGACAGGTTCCAGTGGAGCACGTGCAGGTTCCCGTTGGAATAATATCGCAGGATTCTGAGGTAAATCCCGACGGCTCTTTCCACAACGTCTGGGAGTCGGAGAATGGCATCAGAGTCCAGGAGGAGGCGTCGGTGAAGCTCCTGAGAGACAATACTGTCGTTCAGACGGTCGTCGGACAGGTCAGCTACGTTGATCCCGAGGGCACGCAAGTGGTACTGAGGTATGTAGCTGATGAGAACGGATTTCACCCTGAGGGGGAACATCTTCCGACACCACCGCCCGTTCCAACAGGCATTGCCAGGGGCCTGGAGTGGATTCAAGCTCATCCACCTGTCGAGGAGACCAAACCCCTGGAGGAGACTCCCACCCAGGGGGTGTCCTTCGAAGCCAATCGCCGTAATAATTAAATCTTCAAATTCTCAATTCTTCACATGTCATTTTTAGGATTTGACTGCCTTGTACACTAGATTTTTTTTAGTGCACATTAAAAATAAAGACATCAACTATTTTACGAAATCACCGGGTCTTTCAAGTTTTTTTCCCCTCAGATTTAATTACAACAGAAAAATTGCAATGGATTTTCAAAAAAAAATTGGAAAATTTGCATCGAAAAATTTCTAGAGATATCTCTCGTATTTTCGAATCAATCAATTAATTATCAAATCCCAGTATAAATCTGGGATTTACCAACAATTAAAAGTGAAGAAATACGAGGAGAGTGAAGCACTAGTAGTACGTCTGGTGTACACCAGAAAGCACCACACAATCATCTTCGTGGAGGAGTAATGGCAGTGGAAAAGTCATTTATCCTACGTACGTGTCATTTCACTTGTAAATATTGACAATGCAAAACGATAGTAAATAAGACTAACCGATCTTCCGAGTAAAAACTATTTCTGAGTGTGACTGTAGCTCGACAAAAATTTCCTATTTCCCAGGATTTATCACGAGTGTCATCAACCATTCACCTACTTCCCGATTTCTATTTTCTGAGAATCATTAACAGTATTGTCTATTGTGATATGGCGTGGTTGTCTGGTCTCGCTGGCAAGGCTGAAACATTGCTTAATAAAATTGATCAGAACACAGCAGCCGCTCTAAGCAAGGAGAAATATGACTCTGAGCAGGATCAGCTGATCAACGTCACCTCAGTGGATCCATCTGACAGGCGAGGATTATTTGATCTTAATTTTTTAACATCACAGTCTTTTCCCACGTATTGATAATAATATTATTATTATTTCCACATTCAATAACCAAGAGAATTGATTTCCAGTTGCCAATCAAATAATTCCCAGTCGATCAGCACCCCGGAGGGTACTCCAAAAAAATCGACACACGATGAAAACCTGACAGCGTATTTAAGCAGACTATCAACGCCAACGAGAAAAGCCAATAGTCCTCATCTCCCTCCTGGGACACCATCCTCGTTATCAGTGGAGACATCAGATCCCAAGGATTCATTATCAGAATACTCCAACAGTGGTCGATCATCCCCAGAGCTTTCTCACACCCTCATCGACCTCATCCCAGAGCAGTCGTCATCAGATCCAACAGCTGAGAATATTCACCTGAGGCAGGAAATCGAGAGCCTGAGGAATGAATTGCTGGTGTCAATGCACGTTGAGAGATCGATTGAGAGTGAACAGAGTGAGATGCAGGGTAAAATGGAAATGCTGAGGCAGGAGTACGAGTACAAATTGAATCAGCAGAGACAGCAAATTGAGCATTTGACAAGGGCATCGAAAAATTTTAAGCAGTCGAAACTAGGGAGGAGGGGTTTGGAGCAGCAGAATGAGCTGCTGAGCAAGCAGCACACGGATTATCAGAAGGAGATTGAGATGATGAGGGAGAGGATGGAGAAATTGGAGGTGGAGAATGGACAGTTGGTCAAGGAGATTGACGATCTCAAGGGTAATCTGGAGAGGAGTAGGCTGGATCTCGTGGCCAACAGGCAGGAGCTGGAGCAGCATCGGGCCAGGGCAATAAAGACACTCCAGGAGAAGGAGAAACTCATCGCTGAGCTCAGGGGGAGTAACGGTGACACTGGGGTAGATAATTCTGCGACGATTATGGAATTGAATCAACTCAGGCAGGAGTGCAATGGACTCAGGCATGAGAATCAACAGGTTGGTGAGCAGTTGAGAAATGCTCGGGAGGAGTTGGTCACTGCTGACTTGAAGATCGAGGAGGCTAGCAGGAAATTCGCAGCTGCCAGCAGGGAACTCCAGGAGATCATCTCCATGGAGAAGAGAAAAAGGAGTGAGGCTGAGGACGACGTGGGTAGACACCTGCAGGAAGTTCGGGATGTCAAGGAGGAGATGGCGGCACAGATTGGAGTTTGCACTGGTAAACTCAGAAAACAGGAGGACGAAATATCAAGGCTCAGGTCACAACTCTCCGCTGTCTCCACACCCTCCAGTGCTGTTGAGGAGAGGCTTGCTACCCTCACCAGGACTCTTGTCACTAAACAGAATGAACTTGAGGGACTGACGACTGAGAAGAATGCATTGAGACTACAATTGGAAAAGGCTGAGGTACATTTGAATATTTTTGTTCGATTTCTTCTGGACTTGAGAAAATAAAATGACTATTAAAATTATAATTATTGTATTTATCGGGGAAATTGTCATGCATGATCTGTATATTTTCTTCAGCACGAGTACAGAAAGTTGCTTGGAAATTCCCGAAAACCGTACAACGTAAATGACACTGACGATGCCAAAGCCCAAGTGCCAACGTTCCTCATGGAAACACCATTTGACACATCAATGGCTCGAAAAGTAAAGAGAGCCTATTCGTCCTTAGACGCGATCAGCGTGAGGACTGGAGTCTTCCTGAGACGATATCCCCTAGCCAGAATATTCGTCATAATCTACATCGTACGTATCTTCTTCAATTGTAACAATGAGCAACGAATTACAAATGATTAATGCGAAAAAATGTATCATTTGTGCGCATAAAATTTGAATTGAAACGAGGTCTTGAATTATTTATCGATACCTCAATTATTCGTCTTTGGAAAAAATGTAAACAGTAGCTGATCATCATTTTTTAAAATGATTAATTATTTTTTCTCCAGGCTCTACTTCAATTCTGGGTACTCGTAGTACTTCTCTCCCAGTCTCCAGATGCTCACTGACAGGACCCACAGCCCCACCAATGTTCATGAATTTTTTAAATAAATTGTCAATATTTTAAATAATGGTCGATTTATTCTAATTTCATTATCATGATAATACTATAATACTTCAGATGAATTCCATCAATCACTTGTCAGGCATTCCCCCTCGTCATCTCACGGAATAAATAAATAAATCATCCAGTCACTTAATCTACGCATTGAACACTGCCTGAAACCATTCACACTATCACCTCGAATCATCAAAATCCGAATCCAGTGCTTTCCTCAATTATCGATAGAATATATTCTAAAATCGACAAAAAGCTTGTCAAGCTTCAAAACCAAATAGGGGAAGCTGGGGCTTTGGATTTCTCTCCATCATCAAAAAATCACTCAATTATGTGACATCATATTTTTGTCCAGATCACTCATCACTCACAACTCAACCGGTCGATCTATTTCTGAGTCATGAATATTTGAAAACTCTCCGAAATATTCCAGCTTCCCCTACTTAAGACTCAAAAATTCGCTAAAATAAATTTTCCCTTAGTCCGGGTAAATATCTATAATTAAGTTTCACGTATAAAAAAAATTCATCAGAAAAATTCAGCGGAAGTTTCAAGAAAATTTTCTTAGGATTCATTCGAAATCATCGATAATTTCTGTTTAAATTTCATTCCTTTTTTGATTAATTTTTGAAGCGCTGAATTTTTCCATTGAGTTTTTTCGTCCGTGTCATCTAATGTGCTGGCAGCGGTTATCGGATATCAATTTCAACTCGATTGTAAGATTTATATCAAAAACGTCATGTACTGATATGCGAAGAGCCTAGATATCTCTAATTATTCTAAATTGTATAAGCCGAAAATTTTGATATTTCTAGTGAAAGCCATTGAATCGTCATCTCAAAACTACTCCAAAAACTATTTAGAAAAAGAGACACTGAAGGGCACTGGAAAGTATGATTCAATTTATCTAGAATGAATCGCCCAGTTTATTGAATCAATCATCCAAAATTGTTCCTGTGGTGAAATGCAGTTCTGCCTCTCGTTTTTCTTCAAACACTGGACGATCCACTTGAATTAGGTTTTCTCAATCTATTTCCGAAGTATCAGGCACGAGACGTTTCTCTAAATATTTCATAGCTCTTGCAGCAGATAGGAGTCGCTTGTATATGAAAAATAGAATGGAAAAAGTCTTGACAGTCAACTGACTCTCAATGATGCAGAGCTGATAAAAAAAAATCTATTCAATCCAAGAAAATAGTCTCATCTCCATAGCAATTTACATTACATCTGCAGTTGATTGTAAAATTTTCTTGTATGAAATAAATTTTATTTGTCGAAATGAATTGATTTTTTTCTCGACGTAAAACAGCTAATACGTCTGTAATTATCTTTGTAGTATATCAGTTTTAAGTTTCTTCTTCTCAACGAGACCCTAATCTCTATCTCAATCAGGAGATGCGGAGAATAATTATCTCCATTCGTAATTAATCTACGTGATTACTCTAATACGCAGTGATATGAAAAAATGGTACATGTATGGGGAAATGTACCCTCTAAATCATGGAAAGCATCATTTCATAAGTTCCAAATTGTGGAATTGGATTATGAGATCCTAGAAGAGGCAGTCGGAGGTTATTCCGTTGTTGGTGTCTGGTAAAATGCAGGTGGATGTCACGTGGTTTGACGATTTTATTTCAAAATTGTCGGTATTTTGCCTGGTGTTGTCGACTTCCATTTCGCCTGTTGACGATGATACCACGGTGGATTCTTCAAGTTGTTCTACTCGTTGCTCTATTTTTTCTTTGGCCTGTCGATTGTTCATTTGAGATCTGATAAAATTTTGGGTCTCCAGACATAGAGCATCCACTCTCTTCTGGAGTACATGATTGCGACGAACTAGCACCAGAGTTCGAATAACAATGTCCAGCAATTCTGCGGAAATTATTCGGGCCTATTATTTATCATGAATGATAAATCATTATTTTTCATGAATCTTTACTTGGCGTAATTTTACGAAAATTACCAATTGATAATAATTGAATATTCATTAATTATCATTAAATTATCATCAAAATGGGACTTTCTGTTTTCCCAGATTTTTTAAATTTTCAGAAACAGATCCAGCTCGACTAGAAAAATTCTCTTAAATTGCAAGACTCCATTCAATAGTCAATAAAACAAAAAAAATAAAAAAATAAAATATTTGTATTGCCGTCCCAAGCCTAGCACGCGTTGAGAAAAAAAAGTTACATCTGCAAGTAAATATACTTGCAACAAGTAATAGCCTGACATCTACATAAAATTTCCATTCCCATTTACATCTTGAATAAATTTGTATTCCACTAATAAATATCATTAGTAAAAACAATTTTTCCTCAATACGAGTTATATTGACGGATATATTAACTCAGTGCTCAATTACGATTAAAAATGACAGCAATTAATCGAATTTCACCTTTTCTCCTTTTCTCGATGAGCCTCAACTGCTCTTGTCTAGGCTCATCAGGTATTCTAGCTCCTGGTAAAACCAACTCATGACAATTACCCTGCCAATTGCCATTTTTAACCGAAATTTGTCTGCACTCAATCCTGGAGTGTCTATTGATGGCTCTCTCCTGCCAGTACTTTCTCCTCACACAAGGTGCATCAGTACCAGCTTTTGGAAAATCAGCCATGCAAATTGTTGGCGCCATAATACCAAGAAAACTGCAGCCTATAAAAAGACGGTTGAATTCATGAATGAAAAGTAGTCATTACGTCCGATCTAAAATTAATGAAATTGGGTGGTTGTGGTGGGTATGATGGAGGGGGTATTATCGACGTGCACCATTGCACGCTACAGAATGTAGAACATCAGGTGGCCTTGAACCTTGGGGATACACGTGCGGAAGGAAATCGTAACGCGTTACGCGCCCACTTGTGACGTCCGACATGTGAACGAAATAAAATCCCCAGTTACGAATGACGTGGGGAAAACATCTCCAGCTATGGACGACTAATCGAGACCGAATGACCTATTTATTTCCAGAATTATCGAGAGGAATTTCATTCCAGGGGATTTTACATCCGACGGTGAGAGGGTGGATCCAAGGGGTTTGTTGGGGAATATTTAGATGAGTCTTTAGATGGAGACAACAGGGAAATAATGACACTTTATTTGTCTCAGGGGCTGAACTCGGAGATTAATTTTATCTAGTCGAGTCATATCTCTATCTAATCCGGTTATGCCACATGTGCCAATCCCCTCCTATCTTCGGTGAATTATTTCACTTCTAAGTATTCCACGGGTAAGAAACTGAAGGTGACGTTGTCTGACACGTGGAGGAAACGGGAAAAACAAGTGTTTCGGTGGAGATGTGGTGGGAGGGATGGTGTGATTGATACTTATGGATGAGATCAATTCCCCGGATCCATGGTCCACGTGTCCATTTTTATTAGTATGATTTCAGTTTGATTTCTATTTCATTTTTACTTCACGTGTCTCAAAAAAAAATACTGGAGTATTTACCTTGTAATAACCAGGATTTGTTCTCCAGTTTTTTTTTTCAATTAATCAATTTTACCGCGTGTTCCCCGGAATTCCATAATAATCGGAGTAAATTGGAGATTCGATGCTATCAGAAAGCCAAGATTTATCGTGAATGATTGTTTATTTATTTTTTTTTTTGTGTATTTCACTTTATTTTCTGCTCTGGTATATTTTACTGAGATGCAAGATGCAGAGGGAGTTATTACGCTGGGTATTATTCTCAAATGTCATGTTTCATCCCCATGTAATATCCTCGGTGATTCGGTTTCACCCACTCCCAACGCCTCCGCATGACCTCCGGGTTTGCGAAAATGTCATGCTCTCAATCTCGCCATTAAAAACTCACTGGGACGATTTAATTTAAAAACTCACTGGGACGATTTAATTATTTGAAAAATTTGATTTAATGGCTTGCCCCAGGGGATGCTCATTACAACATTCATTATTGCAGTAATAAAAAAATATATTAAGAGGGACAACGATATTTCAATTATTTTATAATTCTATTAAATAATTTGAAAAGATTTACTCGATACAAGAAGTTAATATCTTGAAATTAAAATTTTTTTGGGATGTGAATCTTGGATAAACTTTTCTTGATGATTAATTAAAATTAATTTACCGTGATGACTTGAGGTTTTTAATTAACGAAGAATGACACTTTTAATTTGAAATATGCACTTCAGAGTATTTTTAGATTAATGTTTAGAAGGTT